GCAAGAACAGAAAACAAATGAACAAATGAACATCAATTTAACACGAAGAGAAAACAAATGAACATCAATTTAACCAAGAACAAAATATTCGACCCTATAAAAAAAGTATTGACACACAGCCTTGACTAACAACCCAACTCGCCTGGTCGTTCGGGTAAAATAGTTTGACGATAATTTTCCTAACTCTAGTCGTCTCCTTTTTCACTCTACCTCACCACCGTCAATACGTCACAAGAGGAGGCCGACACAGGTGTACTTGGCCTAACACCTGTCTCCAATACCTGGGTAATTAAGCTTTGTATCAGGTGTAGGGTCTAAAACAGTTATTGAATGTCTAGCTGTATCAGAAAATCAATTGGTTCAGGTGTTATTCCCTCTATTACCTGAAGATTAGCCCCCTAACCTAACCTAACTTAACCTCTCGTCCTGGTCAAGGGAATAACATCTTTCCAGCCCCCAGACCCTCCAGCCCTCCAGCCAAGACCTTCACACCCCCCCAGCCTCATTGCAAGTATAAGTTTTACATAAAATCGGGTTAATTGTCAGAAGCATACATACATACATACATACATACATACATACATACATACATACATACATACATACATACATACATACATAAGGACAATAATGCAGGTATAGATTGCCCTCACCTCAAATGATTAATACCAACAGGAACCACAGGACAGGTGAGAGGAGGGCTTACCTGTGCTGAATTACCTTACCTGTCTTACTTAATATATACTGTACACCTGTTACCTGGTATTGACTCAGCTAACAGGAAATATAACTTTACCTTGATGATTTTTGAAGACATTACCTCAACGGAAGATAATAGAGTAAATTACCTGAGGAATATATACTAATTAATTATACCTGGGAAATACATTGATTTAATACACCTGAGAAATACATTGAGGAGACCTGGTTAATTTTATTTAGACCTGTATACATAATATATACATAATATTACACATAGTATAATACATATAAATAGTATATACATATAATATTACATATATTAGACTAAGATGACTCGCTAATACATATAATTCGTGTTTGTATAGATAAATTTATACATATACATACTCATATACATATAATATAAATTCTGCAGGATATAAACAGAATTATTTAGGCACTGGAGAGCCAGGTAATTAATTAGTCTGCTCACCTGGCCTGACTGTTATTTCAACATGTTTTAAGAAATGTCAGAAAACCACTTCCTTCGTTCTGATGTTCATAAAGAAAACTTGCATAACCTGTTAATTAGACACCCTAGTTTATTCCACCTGATGATTAACCCACCTTTACCTTACCTGAGTGGTGGGGGAGGGGTAGGTTAGTTTTGGGTTAGTGTTAGGTTATGTTAGGTTAGTGCTAGAGTTAGGGGTGTTTAATCTTCAGGTGATCAGAATTTGGGGGTTACCTGGAGATGATGTGGTTGGGGATGGTGTGGTTAGTGATGGTGTGGTTGGGGATGGTGTGGTTGGGGATGGTGTGGCTCACATTGTAAAATAAAGCGAAAATGTGCGAATGAATAAACCTTGCCAGCAGCTCAACAGTTCAGGGCAGAAAAATAAAACCACAGAGTTTGTTTCACGTTATTGTGTGTGTGTGTGTGTGTGTGGTGAGGGTTCGTGTGTGTATATGTGTGTATGGTTAGGTTAGGTTATGGGGATTAATCCAGGTTAACCAAACACACAACACGAAATCAGTAACCTCACCTGTATTCACCTGACGATTCACTACTCATTAACCTTTCATTAGTCGAGGGAAAGTTAAACGAAAAGAAACACTAATATTTATAACCCTCAAACCTGCAGGTAGAGAAGTTTATGAATTAGTTTATATAGCTCCATGTGTCATCAACTTAACGAGTGGGTTAAATATGTATATTATCCACATTACAAATTTATATTATTTTTACGTGTGATATGATAAACAACACACAATAAAAGACATATTATGTAAATCATTGCTCTTTATTCACTTTCAGTTCAGTGTCAGAATCGTAAAAAAAAAAAGACGCAATTTCTCAGAATATTTTAGAAAAGAGGGATTTTTTTTTCACTATTTGTTGGTCTGTTTATATTATGTCCTTCATCGTCCAGTGGGGTTATTTTTCAATCGACTGGTATTTGTCTTTTCTTTTTCATTTTTTCACACATAAACAATGATAGACAGAGCATTGATTTGTTTTATCATTTTACAGTTTTCTTTGTTTACGTCATTTGTTTACTGTTCGGAGTGAGGCATCCAACACGCCCCTGGGGGAGAGGTGGGCCAGGGCTGCGTCAGGAATAAGTGCTGCTGTTGTTATAGAGAGAGAGTTATTAACATGTTCCATTACTTGGTTCAGTAAACGTATCACACAACAAGTTCACTGACAATTATATTGACGTGTTTCAGGTATTGGTTGAACTTTTAACGTGTGAAGTGTGACTGACCTCTCTCTCTCTCTGGCTGGGCTGGGTTGCCTCTCTGACACTCCTATCCTGGCAGGGAAGCTGACTCACTCACTATTACTGTCGGTGGAAAATTTTTAGACCCGACAAGTTTTAATTCGTATCTTGAATTGACGGTTTGTTTACATTTGTTGTTGTAGAGAGAGAGAGAGAGAGAGAAAGAGAGAGAGAGAGAGAAAGAGAGAGAGAGAGAGAGAGAGAGAGAGAGCGAGAGAGAGAGAGAGAGAGAGAGAGAGAGAGAGAGAGAGAGAGAGAGAGGATAATACGCCTTCATCGTGTCCCTGTTGATCGCTGGTGCACTTTGTGTGATTGTCTTTAGCACGACAAATGGACTTTAAACACACATCACACATCACGGTCATCACTCCTTCCACCTGGACAAGCTAAACTTCTCGTAGTGTGAATTAAAATTGAATGTTGATTTTACCGCCATTACCACCCCCCCCCCCCAAGAATCTTTGTTATGTTTTTGTTTTTTGTTTTTGTTTTTTGTTTTTGTTTGGTTTTGTATTTATTTATTTATTTATTTATTGTATTTTATATATTTTTTTTATAATTCAATGGACCTTAAATTATTATAATTATTTTAGATCTTTTAATAAACAGAAATCTAAAAAAAAAATACAAATCTGTAGGACTTTAAATCTGATCATTACGAAGGACATTTAGGAGTCACATTATAATCCTACAGATTTTTAATTTCCTGTTTATTATACTTCTTGAATTATAATCATTTAAGGTTCTCAATAAAAAAAAGACCCAAAGACCCTGTATAATATTGTTTAGTTCGTGTGGTCTTACTTTTCTATATATGTTAGCGTGGCCTTTTTTAGCTCCAGAGAGGGTCTTTTTTTTTTAGCTCCAGTCAGGTTCTTTTAGCTCCAGTCAGTTTTTTCAGCTCCAGTCAGGTCCACAACAGTCAACACGTCAAAACCTTTTCGTCGTCGCTAACTGAATCCAATACATGATTTTCATTTCCCACTTGTTCAGCCTCACTTCGTAAACCGATTTCCCTTCCTGATTTATAATACGAGATACCGCAAATCCGACATTTTTCCAAGGTTAAATCAGCCCTCGGAGTTAAAAATCGGATTGGCTTTTATGATAAATATACATACAGATTTTATCTTTAGTTTATATGGTATAAGGTGACATAAATGTGTACTTGTTTATATATGATAGAGTTAAATGAATCGTTATCCTAATTATGTTAAACTCTTATCCTGTTAAATTATCATACTTATAAGGTTAATTATCATCCTTGGCTAATTAAACTATCATGTTAAACCATTATCCCGTTAAATTATCATCCTCAGAGGGTTAATTAGTATACCTTCCATCTACCTGTGTACACCTGGTCAGTTCCTTCAATAATAGTTCTAATCTGATTCAAGTTTCTTTATCTCCCGTCTGAATTTTTGGGTGGGTGGATGTAGCGGGAAGCCTGTCTGTCTGTCTGTATGTCTGTCCGTGATAAATTTGCTGTTGATAACTTTGTGTAGACACAGTTGGGTTATTGTATGTTTGGGTGTAGAGGTGTAGAAGAAGAGAGACAGAACAGTAATTGAATCACGTGAAGACAAGTTTATTTTCAGCTGATTATTATAATATCATAACTCTACCTGAGGGGGAGAGTTAGGTTAGGTTAGGTTAAGTATGTCTAAGTTACCCTTTGACGTCAATAACTGTGAAATACTGTAGATATATCAACATTTCACTACACAATCCTCTAATTCTTGTGAAACTCGTAGTGAAAAGATAATTCATATCATCTCCTAGGGTAAAGTAATGTAAAAGTAAAGTAAGAATTAAGGTTTGATGGTAAGCAGTAATTTTTCTTTAGCTACCCTCAAATTTATCAGGTTTTCTATAGGAGTACAATTCTGTGTCTATTTTCTGTTGGTGGAGGGTAACTACAGTAAAATTGGTCCAACTTCGGATAGCGCAAGAAAGCTATTTAATGTTTACCTATGAACATCAGTCAATCAGTGGGTGGGATTAACCGAATTCTTTTGTCCTGAAATGGGAGAATTTTTTCTTTGTCCACCCCTCCTCCTCCTCCTAGACACCCCTGGCATATATAAGTAATTTGTGAGGGAAACGTCAAAGAAAGGTGTCCTAAAATGGTCTGAAATATTGATTGAAAAGATAAAATCCCTAAAATTCCATTGTTGTCTGAAAATAAAATAATACCCGTAAATGTAATTGTTATTCTAGATTCATTCTGAAATCATACATGCAAAATACATCGTATAAACTGGAGTATACGAAGTTATTGCTGTAGTAAGGCTGAGAGAGAGAGAGAGAGAGAGAGAGAAAGAGAGAGAGAGAGAGAGAGAGAATTGAGTAGCCAGTGTAGAAAGAAAACGAAGCTGTTTTAAGGATAACTCAAATAAATTTCGTGGGTTTTTTTTTTTAATAATGATTCACAAAATAACTTAAACTAGTAATACTTAATGGATTTATTTCTGGGTCTAACGTTGGGTCCGGAAGATACAAGATAAGAGGAAGAATTTTGATCGATGACGTGTTATGTGTTCAGGTCAGAGTGTGTTCAGCCCACAGTGTGTTCAGACCAGAGTGTGTTCAGCCCAGAGTGTGTTCAGACCAGAGTGTGTTCAGGCCACAGTGTGTTCAGCCCAGAGTGTGTTTAGGTCAGAATGTGTTCAGGCCAGAGTGTGTTCAGGCCAGAGTGTGTCTAGCCCACAGTGTGTTCCAGGCCAGAGTGTGTTCAGCCCACAGTGCGTGTTCAGGCCAGAGGTGTTCAGGCCAGAGTGTGTTCAGCCCACAGTGTGCTTAGGCCACAGAGTGTGTTCAGGCCAGAGTGTGTTCAGCCCACAGTGTGTTCAGGGCCAGAGTGTTCAGCCCACAGTGTGTTCAGCCCACAGTGTGTTCAGGCCAGAGTGTGTTCAGCCCACAGTGTGTTCATAGGCCAGAGTGTGTTCAGGCCACAGAGTGTTCAGCCCACAGTGTGTTCAGGCCAGAGTGTGTTCAGCCCACAGTGTGTTCAGCCCACAGTGTGTCTAGGCCAGAGTGTGTTCAGCCCACAGTGTGTTCAGCAGCCAGAGTGTGTTCAGGCCAGAGTGTGTTCAGCCCACAGGTGTTCTAGGCCAGAGTGTGTTCAGGCCAGAGGTGTGTGTTCAGCCCAGAGTGTGTCTAGGCCAGAGTGTGTTGCCCACAGTGTGTTCAGACCAGAGTGTGTCTAGCCAGAGTGTGTTTAGGTCAAGAATGTGTTCAGGTCAGAGTGTGTTCAGCTCACAATGTGTTCAGCCAGAGTGTGTTCAGGCCAGAGTGTGTTCAGCCCATAGTGTGTTCAGGTCAGAATGTGTTCAGCCCATAGTGTGTTTAGGTCAGAGTGTGTTCAGCCCATAGTGTGTTCAGGTCAGAGTGTGTTCAGCCCATAGTGTGTTTAGGTCAGAATGTGTTCAGGTCAGAGTGTGTTCAAAGTACTGGGCATGTACTGGCTCTGGCTCTGTTACACACTGTTGGCAAGTACTGGTCATGTACTGGCTCCTGAAGGTACCTGAACCTGCTCCAGTGTTGGTTAAGTCTGGTCTTGAAACAGCTCACACTCGGTACCGTCACAACATTATTATTATTATCATTATTTTATTATTTATCGTCATCATTACTACTATTACTGTCATTATTATTCTCATTATAACTGGAGAAAAAGATAATGATATGCAGAAAGGCCGGATGAGTAATATTATTGTTGTTCCTATTAACGCCTATTACTGTCATTACTATCATTATTGTCATTATTATTTGTAATTTAATTAGTCGTTATTTTTTTATTATACTTTATCATTATATATTTATCTTTAGGTTAGGTTAGGTTAGGATGTATATATACTAGGTATGTGCATAGTGTGTTATCCTACATACTGTGCTCTCCCTAATATAATGTATAGATTCATTAACATTCAGATCTTAACCAAGACCTTATACCTTCCTGATCCAGAAACAAACGAACATCACTATGCTCTCTGAATAAGTGATCTGAACACCATATATTTCCCGTGGGATCCTAATGACGCAGCAAACAATTGAGACATTTATTCAATCACAAATAAAAACAATGAATAAAATACATAGGATAAAATAACAAGTCTCGTTATTTTTTCTTACAATATTTACTATAACAGATGTACACAAAAAGCAGATTCACGTGAGTACATATTTTTTAACATACAAAATTACAAACTTGAAATTCCAATCCCTTCCCAACTTCCTCTCGTCCTTAACTTGGGTCTGTGGTCGTGTGTTCCAGCAGTGTTTATATGAGGGGTGAAGGGGGGGGGGAAGGTTAGAGGGGGGAAGGGGTAGAGGGGAGGGAAGGAGGAGGGGTTATGTGGTTTACACTGAGGCATAGGGGTGGTGGAGGCGTGAGGGCGGTGTATCAGGGTGAGGATGGGTGTGAGGGTATGGGCGTGAGGGCGTAGGTATGAGGGTGGGCGTGAGGGCGGGCTAAACACTGCTGCTAACTGGACCATAACCCAACGTTCAGACTTGAATGGGGGAAACAAACCAAAAAAATAAAAATAATAATTATATCGACAATAAATTATACATAGAAATGATAAAAGGACATTTATTATTTCATCACACTAACATTATTGACCTGATGAAGCATTATTAACCTCTCAACGACTGAGACTTATTGATCGAGGTCATCCTGAGCTGATTGAACCTCTCTCGTTACGTCACTGGGAGTCTCGATGACCCGACCGGGAATTAAGCCAGGCGGGTCAATCCTCGTCACTATACAGTATTATGTACAGGTTTAGCCGGAAGCTTTTGTTACTTAAGACACAAAGCCACCAGCTGGGATCATGACGTCATTGTTTGCTTATAACTTTTTGTTTATATTTCATTTTTTGTTTCTACTGTTATTATTGATGTTGTTATTGCAAGTTACTTAAGGAACCTGGGATTGATTTCTGTTTGCAAGCAAGTTCCTTATGTGTTGCTACTTACATTAATTAATGGTGTTTCTTTTTGTAGTATCTGGTTATTGAATCATTTGGTCAAGATTTGTTCTCTTTTTTTTTTTTACAAAGCGAACGACTTCTTTATCTTCGTCATGGGTGTTTGTGATGTTTCTCGTTATTTTATCGCTTTATGGTACGTGTGTGTGTGTCTAAGGGGCGCCCTCATACAGTAGGTTTAAGTCAGCATTGTTCTGTTTAGTCTGACACACACACACACACACACACACACACACGCTTTTAAAATAAACAGTACTATGCCAGCTTTAAACCTCTGTAGTGATCCCTTTGCTACTGAAGATGGTTTCCAAATCAACCATCTGAAGCTTGATTCTTGATGACCTTGACCAAAATATTGACTTGAGGGCGGGCTGGAGGGGGGAGAGGAACACAGCTCTAACTAAAACCCCAAACCCAAACAGTTAGCGGGGTTTTTTTTAAGGGTTTAATTGCCAACTAAACTGTTTTTCTTTTCTCTTAAACCCGTCAGTCAGTTTTATTAACAGTATATGTTAAAATTACAACAATATATTCGCCTACTTACTGTACTGGATAAGAATCAATTATGTGCGATTGTTTTGTACGCGGAAAAAGAACTGTAAATGTGGTGTGTGTGTGTGTGTGTGTGTGTGTGTGTGTGTGTGTGTGTGTGTGTGTGTGTGTGTGTGTGTCTAACTCCTTAAACATGAACTAATAAACCCTTTTCTCTCTCATTACAACCTTTTTTTGGTTGATGCCTTATAATTGGAGTTAACCTTTGACCTGTGATGGTATGTTAACAGTCACCACACCCTCACAACTCTGTCTTCCTTCATTAGTTAGCCCTACCCTTGGGACACCTATGGAAAACAAAGTCACTTTACTGAAGAAAAAACTGGGAAATTTTTTTTTTTCTTCGTCAACTAGAACCTTTTTGAGATGGGATTCACCACACGTGTTGACCTCTAGACACATGTTGTATAAACACTGCCTATTCATGTAAGGTATTGATTTGTTCTCGTAACTTTGTCTCAGTAATTATGTTCACTTCATGTGTTCACGGGGTATTTGTCTTGGTTTTTTCTTTGTCAACACGACTCACACTGCACTTAGGTCCCTTTTCCCCTTTTCACTCGATTTTCTTTTCACAAAACTCGACAGGTTCAACATTTCTCGTACATATCAGGTCCACGACAGGTCCAGCACCGATATTTAAACCTCGGGTCTTTTAACAGGTCCAAGACTGACTCATGAACATCAGGTCCATAGCAGGTTCAACACATGGTAATATCCGAGTCATCAGGTTACAGGTGTACTGATAACAGCTCAGGTGTAAAGTGGAGGTACCAAGTCCTAAATAGTGCCACCATCAGGTAGCCTGAAGGTGTTGTCACGCACAATACAGTTAACCTGGACGTGTTGTCACAAGTCCTATTGGTAAACTGGAGATGTTGTCACAGAACGAAGATATAACCTGGGATTGTTGTCACAGGTAGTGTGGAGGTAAACTGTGGAGGTGGTGTCACAGGCCGCACAGATGACCTGGAGGGTGTTGTCACAGGTCAGATGAAGGTCACTGGCTCCAATAAAAGGCAGGCTCGGGTCAATCGAGCCCCAGTACAGGTTTCACATCCATCATAAGGGGCTTAGAGGTGGGTAGGTGCTGGGCGGTGGAGACGTGGGCGTGCATGGGCGGCATGGGCGGGACGGGCGTGACCGTAGGGGCGTGGTACTGGACACTCTCCAGTTTCTCCTTCTGCAGTAGTTCATCTCTCTTCTTCATCTGTTTCCTCTCCTTAGCTCGTCGATTCTGGAACCATATTTTCACCTGTGGAGGATTGGAGATTAGTTACTGCTGAGTCATGTTAGTTATGACGGGGTAATAATTGAAACAGTTTATTTAGCCGGGAAAATACGGCTACAGAGTGAACAATAACAATAATATTGACATGGTTGATCCAAGTGGGGGCCCTGGAACCTCGAATGTGAAAGTGGGTCCCGTAGGTATGACATGAATAGTGTGGGTATATATCGCATTGTATACGAAGCCTCCGGTACACAAGAGGGTTAAGTTAATCATGTAAATATAGAATTGTTACATAATTGCACTGAGATTTTAACCTTAACTAGATGTTGTTTTTTCATTCTTAGACAAGCCTGGAGGGAAGAGGGGGGAGGAGGAGGGAAGCGGGAAGGGAAGGGGGGGGGAAGGAAATGGCGTAAAATCCTATATGAAAATCCGACATCAAAGGTTTTATTGTTTATAATCCGTCTCGGAACACAAGCGATCCAGGGTTCGTATCTCTCATCTATATACTTACCTTGATTTTCCCTCCTTAGTGGGGATCATAATTACAGGTAAGAGTCTCAGTGTAATTGTTACGCCATTTTGAATACACTCGTTGTGGTTTTGTGGTTTAGGTTTATTGTTTGTTTGTTTGTTTAGGAGAAAAATACGACGTGGGAACTACTGAGAATTTGTCTATGAATCATCATTATTTCTCATCACTCGACAGGTATATATTGTCGTGTCTGTTATCATAATTATCATCGCAGTATTAGTTATCTTAATCACACAGGATAACATTTTTTTGGTAATTACTAATCCAGGGATAATTTGCTCCTCTTTTAATATCGTTTGGTTCAATGGTTAATCCGATAATTTATTATTATTTTTTAGGATTATCTCATGATGTGGAAAATTTAATTCTGTTTGTGGTGTTTAGTTATCCATAAGTTAACCTCACCTAACAAGTGAATGTTTTAAATATTTTATCCTGGTGTTTTTTATCGTATTTTTTTGTGAGTTTTGGAATCATTGTGTTTTAGTGTGCGTTTTTTTCCGTGGGTTTTTGTTGTGTGTTTTTTCTGTGAGGTTTGTGTCATCGACCCCCATATGGGTGTAAAGAGAATGAGTTTTTTTCTGTTTTTCTGTTGACAGTATGTATGATGTAACTGATGACGTCATGAGTGTGTGGATTATCTCTGGTGTATAATGAGATTACATACACACATACAGATGGAAGGGGTGACGTACACACACACACACACACGTACATATAGGTGGAGAGGGGGGTGACGTAAACACACACACACACACACACACAGGTGGAAGGGGTGACACAGGTGAAGGGATGACTCACCTGTCTTTCAGAGAGGCCCAACATGGATGCCAGTTCAGACTTTCTCCTGATGGTTATGTACCGAGAGTAGTGGAACTCCTTCTCTAACTCGAGGCGCTGGTGGTCACTGTACACCACCCGGTACTTGTCCTTGGTCCTCGTCTTCCCTGTAAAGTGGAGGTGGATAAGTGGTGGAGGTGGTTAAGTGGTGCAAGTGGAGGTGGATAAGATGGTGCAAGTGGAGGTGGATAAGTGGTGCAAGTGGAGGTGGTTAAGTGGTGCAAATGGAGGTGGTTAAGTGGTGCAAGTGCAGGTGGATAAGTGGTGCAAGTGGAGGTGGATAAGACGTGCAAATGGAGGTGGTGGTTTAAGTGGTGCCCTTCCTCTATACCTGTACACCTGTTTAGCTGACCCAGGTTGTGATACATCAATTAACAACATGCGGTTATATAGGGATGTTATTTACGCTAGCTTGGGTATAGTATGGTGATGCCCCTTCTACCATAACCCAAGCAGTCAGTACCCCGTTCTCTACCCAGGCACTTGGCTACCTATTAATGGCAAGAAAATTATTGAAAACGGTAGAAAACAAAAACCTAACCTAAATCCAACTTAACCTAACGTAACGTAACCTAACCTAAATCCAACTTAACCTAACGTAACCTAATCTAAATCCAACTTAACCTAACTGTAACGTAACCTAACCTAAATCCAACTTAACCTAACGTAACGTAACCTAACCTAAATCCAACTTAACCTAACGTAACCTAATCTAAATCCAACTTAACCTAACTGTAACGTAACCTAACCTAAATCCAACTTAACCTAACGTAACGTAACCTAGAGTTTAAGCGGAAATTACATATTTTTTTTATCTTACTTAGCTTTGCTCTGTATGATAACACACACTAATCGCTGGAGGTTGAGGGAGAGGTATTATATATTTTGCTGGAGATAACTAAGGCTTATTACACACACACACACACACACACACACACACACACACACACCAGTCCTCTCTATGATATTACTTCGGGCATCTCTCTCTCTCTCTCTCTCTCACACGTAAACTAATCCACATACAACTATACAAGAAGAGCCACCTGTGTGTGTGTGTGTGTGTGTGTGTGTGTGTGTGTGTGTGTGTGTGTGTGTGTGTGTGTGACTGAAGATTAACACAAAAATGATCAAATCTTTTTAGTTATCTTGCTTCACCTAAAGATCATGCACTCTATGATTACGTGTGACGGAACTCTATAAGCCATGCACAGGGAGATAGAACCATGATATCAAGACGTCTTAGAAACACAAGATACACATCAACTCTCGTTATATTCCCTCAAGATGACAGATACCGGAAAAACCCAACTGTTAATACGTGTCTAGATAAAGTGATACCTCTCTATTTAACGGACTGTGGCGAGGAAATTCCGGTATATAGAGGGTTCGTGGAGAGAGGAAATTCCGGTGTATGGAGGGTTCGTGGAGAGAGGAAATTCCGGTGTATGGAGGGTTCGTGGAGAGGAAATTCCTGTGTATGGAGGATTAGTTAGAAGTGAAATTTCCATCTTGATATGAAAGCTATGCTATCTGTCACGTCATCCAGCCATGCTATCTGTCAAGTCATCCAGCCATGCTATCTGTCAAGTCATCCAGCCATACCATTTGTCAAGTCATCCAACCATGCTATCTGTCGTCATCCAGCCATACTATCTGTCACGTCATCAGCCATGCTATGTCGTCATCCAGCCATGCTATCTGTTACGTCATCCAGCCATACTTTATCTGTCACGTCATCCAGCCATGCTATCTGTCAAGTCATCCAGCCATGCTATCTGTCAAGTCATCCAGCCATACCATTTGTCAAGTCATCCAACCAACCATGCCACCTGTCGATCATCCGTCAAATCATCTGTCAGTCGCCTGTCACACGATAAAGACGGAGTGTGATATATAGAGATAGCCAGAGCAGCGGTGTTGGTCTGTCTGTTAGTGTCAGTGGTGTGGATAGTGGGTGGGTGTGTGTGGATGGATGGCGGTTGGTGGGTGTTGATGGATGTGGTGGTGGGTGGAGAGAGAGAGAGATACGGTATATATACGTCTCTCTCTCTCTCTCTCTCAGTTGTACACCTGCACGTGATCATCGTATATTCGTTATCAATAGACCGACAGCGATAAGGTGATGATAGTGAGGTGTTAACACGCTTCCCGCCGCCCTCCTGCCACCCAGCCACCCAACCCGCCACCCACAACTACCCAACCTCCTACCCCATGCAGCACCCTCTTGCCACACCGTCCAACCTACACCACTCCTAACCACACCCACCACATTGCCACCCACAACATTGCCACCCATAACATTGCCACCCACAACATTGCCACCCATAACATTGCCACCCATAACATTACCACCCATAACATTGCCACCCACAGCATTGCCACCCACAGCATTGCCACCCAAAACATTGCCACCCACAACCACACAATATTAAGCAGTAAATTAAATGATATGATTTTTGTTTTCAATTGTAGAGGAAGTTTGACTCGTGTGTGTGTGTGTGTGTGTGTGTGTGTGTGTGTGTGTGTGTGTGTGTGTGTGTGTGTGTGTGTGTGTGTGTGTTCTCTCGTGACCACTAACAATTAATCACAGGTAGTTAGTGTAAGTCGATCGACCATAAACATCTGCCAGGAGAACTGTCGTCCCTCTCACCTGAAGATTAGTCACCCTTATGAGTCACCTGTCCTAACTCTACCTGGCGGACTTAGGTTAGGTTAAGTTAGGGTAATTTTGGTTAGGTCAGGTTGAAAGTAAATTTGATTTGATTTGGTTTGGTTAGGTTTGGTTAGGTTTAGGTTAGGTTCTGCTGTGTTAGGTTGGGTTATGGTAATTTGTATACCTGTAAATTTTCTTCACTACGATCAAGCAAAACGTGATCTAAGTTACTGTAGTTTCGTAGTTGTTTGAGTGAGACAGATGGATTCATTATCACCCTCCTGATTCACGTGAGACATTTGACTTAAAGGTGATTAGAAACACCTTGTTAACATTAGGTGCCCTCAATTTATTTCACCTGATGATTAATTATCCTGATTCTAACTTAACTTTAACATTAACCTAAGTAGATTGAAAGTAACCCTAATCTAATCAAATTTAACCTAAACTAACCTACTTTTAACCTGGCCTAACCAAAATTAACCTGTCCAAACCTGACTTAATCTAGCCTGACTTATTTTCTAATCTTAACCTAACGTTCATCAACACTCAACGTTCAAAAATATTCAACTTAACAATAAAAACTGTTAATTAGTCTCAGGTAACGTTCGTACGGTCTCAGTGTAACTATTGTCAGGGAAGAATTTATTTCAAGCAGAAACATTTCAACAAAAACTATTTCTCTCTGGTCAGCTGTCTTCGACCCCCCCTCCCCCTCTCCCCTCCCCTCTCCCCTAAAAAAACATCAGGTAGGAATGGAAACGGCCTAGAGCAATGACGACTCAGCAGCGTTCCCATTGGTCGACGAGGGACTACCGTGGACGCGGGTTGGTCAAAAGGCTTCATAATGGCCGGTGATTGGCTAAAAGGTGGCCAGGTGGGCGTGGATTGGTCACAAAGTAGTTCAGGTATTCTGCTATTGGTTAACTTGGCCGGTGTCGGACGCGGCTTTTATTACAGGCTGTCTGTGGGTGGGAGGGGATGGAGGGAGAGGTAAGGTGGAGGGGTAGAGGGAGGGGAAGGAGGGGAAGGAGGGAAGGGGGAAGGGAGAGGCAATAAAACTAACCGATCTCAGTTGCCTATTACGTATTTACTTCACTAATAATCACGCGAGATTCTAAGTCCTTCCCGTCCGTGTACGTTGTGTGCATTAACGTACAATTGTGTATATATATAACGCTTATTGAAGGACCTGGTGTGTTATCTAGATGGAGGAAAATATAAGAGGAAGATATTGGGGTCTTCCGTCCATCCTGGGAGGGAGGAGGTTGCCAGGTCACAGTGCTCCCAGCTTGGTGATGGTGGAGGACGAGGGAGAGAGAGAGAGAGAGAGAGCAAGGAAGATAAAGGGGGAGGGAGAGAGAGAGGAACAAGGGAGGGAGAGAGAGAAACAAGGGAGAGAGAGAGGAGTGAAAGTGGTTGAACACCTCCCTGCCTAACTTCAATCTTCGCCTAAAGGTTTAATTTATTCCCGTCATGAAACTCCGCCAAGAGAATAGATTTTTAGCAGAGGTAGAGAGTGTCTGTATACAGTTTAACAGGGAAGAGGCTGGTTAGGTTAGGCTAGATTATTGTAGATTATGATAGATTAGGTTAGGTTAAGTTAGATTAGATTAGTCGAGGTCCTTGATTTATCGGGTGAAATAAACTCGGATATCTAAAACTCTTCAGGTGTCCCAAAGAAATCCCTTTTAAAACTCCCATCAGGACATCAGGACATCATTCACGCATTGACTCGTTGTTGTGGATCAGGACACGGGGGTCGGTCGGGGTCCCGCGTGAAGAGTTTTTGCCTCCCAAGCTGTTTCCTGTGAGGCCAAGTGTTACCCACAAGGTCAGTGCTAGCCAGGATGTAGCGAGCAGTCAGGCGCCGTCGACAACAAGAGACGAAATTTTTATTGTGTGTTTTTAATCTTAATTGTAAAAAAAAATGGGGTTACCTGAAGATTAGACACCCGAGTTTGTTTGACCTGGTGGTTAATTAATTACACCTAACGCTAATTTAACCTAACATGACCTTATATAGAGTAACCTATTCTAAGCTAACCTATAGAATGGCCCAACCTAACCTAATTTAACCTATGGAATGACGTAACCTAACCAAACCACTATAGTGAGAGAGAAGATGAGATAAAGGATGGAAGAGAGAAGGTGAGAGATAAAGGATGGAAGAGAGAAGGTGAGAGATAAAGGATGGAAGAGAAGAAGGCAAGAGAGAAAAGACGCATAATATAAGATAACAATGAAAGATAAAAGGAAAGACAATTAATTTATCTGAACGTCCGGACATTTAACCAGATAGGATTAAGTTAAGGATCTATATTGTAGGTTAAAGGACACGTGCCAGTTATACCCCATGAGAATTATTTTTTGGGAGGGGTACTTTGGCCCCTTTACCCCACCGTGCTCCAATCCCACCTAACGACCACCCCTTAATTTCGTCTTTTATCAGTT